AGGAAAATTTGTTTAGCAACAAAGATCTTGAGGAATTATGCAGACATATCAACAACAGAAACCGAGTAAGAGGAATGAACTGGTACTGCAGAGACTGGGCAGCTTCGCAACCCAGCGCTCAACCGCTGCACCACCGGGGAGGCCCCGATAATGTTAACATTTTTATTTATAAAGATATATCATTCCTGCTGTTTGAAATCTGCCTTTTCCACTTTCACATATTATGTTAATGAAAGCATACCATGTCAATAATTACGTAGTTTTAGAGGCTGCTTTGTATTACTTCATATTGTTAGTAGTGGCTACAGTATTGCAGAGCATGGAACTAGACCATTTGGTGATAACATAAAATTAGGAATCATCTAAATGTTTAATTTTCTGTATCTAGTGTTCTAGTCTGGTACTGTACAATATTATAGCTACTAGTTATGTTGTATATTTTTTAAAGATTTATTTATGCATAAAAGAACTGGGGCATAGGCCAGAGGTGCGGGGGAGAGGGGTGAGAGGATTCACCGAGGACAGAGTCGGAAACAGAACAGGCAGATCTACTGAAATACGCTGCTGAGGGGAGCAGCAGGCAAGAAAGGGGAGGTCTGCCGCACCATATGTGGGTCAGCTCCCTGGTATCACTCACTCATGCTGCAGTGGCTGGCAATAGCTTGATCGCGCTGAGACTTTAACCCCTGCACCACCAGGGAGGCCCCATGTTGTATATTTAAATTAAAAAAAATTAAAAAACTTAAATTTGACAGCAGAATTGAGGCTGTTATCGAGAAAGGTAGGGGGAAGTGGCTAGGGGGCCCAGTGGTCTAGGGTGAAAGCTTATGGGCACCTTAATGGTAGGTACAGTACACATCTGAGGGGAACCTATTCCCCTGAATCACAGTGTTGTAAACCAATGTTCTCTCAAAAAAGGGGGGAAAATTTGCCCCTCACACTTGCCACGTTTCATTTGTTCAATACACCATGGGCTGGTTGGGGTTGGGGGTTACCTGTGGGCAGCACGGACCTGGGAAATCCAGTTTACCACCATCCTTATGCATTTTAGATTTCTCAGAATGGTGCCTGGATGAATTCATGCTGATCATTGCTGAGTCAAAATGTGTGCACATAGGACTTTGATACCTATTACTAATAATAGTACTAATTTATACTTCCATCAATAGGATTTTGGTAGTGTCCGCTTGAAAATAAAGTAGCAGTAGATATATTTTACCTGAAATAAACATATCCCTAATTTTTCAACCTCGAATTTGAGGAATTGTGAACAAGTTCTAAATAACACACAGGTTGTTTTCTTAAAAATTTTTCTAAGATATTTTTGAGGGGGTAGTACTGGATGGTGCAGAGTCCCTCACAATTGGGAAGGAGTACTAATTGTTCTGTAATGGCTAACCTTTTTAAAGTCGGTTTCTGCAAGAATATGAACTTGGAATGTCAGGGGAGTCTGTCATCACACCTTAAGGTTTTGTGCTTCTTCTTACAGGCAGCACAGCATTCTCAGAAGCAGTCTACTGAGCTCTTCCAGTGCATGTATTTTAAAGACAAAGACCCTGAAATTGAGGAGCGCTGCATATCCGATGGGGTTATTTATTCAATTAGAACAAATGGTGTGCTTGTATTTATACCAAGGTATGTCTCTCACAATAGTTAACACAAGAGTTAGGAAATCCAGATAAAATGATACTAAGAGTAGATCACATATAGCATATTAGATAAGACTTTTTTATTTATTTTAGCAACTCTATAGTTACCACATAATATATAATTCACTAAGTGTAAATACATCTGCATCAATCTGAGGATAGGATTTTACCTTTCTTTTTTTTATTTATTTTTTAATATATATATTTTTTTAAGATTTATTTATTTATTTATTTATTTATTTATTTATTTATACAAGCACTGGGTACAGTCAGAAGCGCGGGAGGGTGAGAGGATTCACCAGAGCCAGAGCGGGGAGCAGAGCAGGCAGAAGAACCAAAGTACACTGCTGAGGGGAGCAGCGGGCGGCAGGAGGGGTCTGCGCGCCATGTGGGACCCTCCTCTGGTGGCCGGGGAGCAGCCGGGGATTGAACCGGCACTGCAGAGGCTGCGGGCAGCTTTGCAACCCAGCGCTCAACTGCTGCGCCACCGGGAAGGCCCCTTTCTTTTTTTTTAATTGAAGTAACATTGCATTGGAACAGTGTGTGAGTTTCAGGTGTTCATTGCTGAGAATCAACATATATATACACTAAAGTCACCACTAGAGAATTTTACTTTCTTATTTAGCAAAATATTTTTGTTTCCATCTCTTTATTGAAATAAATATTTGGAGTTAAATCACAGGAAATAGTTTTTAATCTAGAAGAAAGTCTAGCATTCTACATAAATACACAGATCTGCATACTAAAAATACATCATATCTGGATTTTTATTTTGGCAATGACTCAGATTTGGGATTAAAGGTGCTGCTTACCTAAAAAATAAAGATGGCTTAGTGATCTCGTGCCATCCAGATCGCCATTCTGATTGGAAACCAGGATCCCTTCAGCGATTTCAAAACAAAATCACCTCTACCACAAAAGAAGGGGAAACTGTTACGTTCCATTTGTTTGACCATGTAACAGTAAGTCTGTATTTATACTTAAGAATTGCTTTGTATGTATAGAACAAAGAATGTGATCTAGTAATATGCTTTCTCCTGTTTGATAGGTGAGAATATCCGTACAGGCTTCACGTTGCCATTCTGATACAATCAGACTTGAAATTATAAGCAACAAGCCATACATGATACCAGATACAGAACTTTTTCAGCAAAGTTCCCTCTTGCTAAAGAGTGATTTAGTTAAAGAAGTAACTAGATCTGTGGAAGAAACTCAACTTGCCCAGGAAGTCAAAGTAAACCTCATTCAGGAAGATTATCAAGAATATCGCCAAACGAAGGGAAGAAGCCTGTACACACTTCTAGAGGAGATAAGGGACCTGGCTCTCCTGGATGTTTCAAACAGCTATGGAATGTGAAATACTCTCATTTCATTAAAAGACCCTTGTCTTATGTGAATGTTTTGCCTTCTTTTCAACATTAACATCTAATTACCTGTGTCACCCAATATTCTATGATGGGAATTGGGTAGATATTTCAGTGTTTTTCCCTCCCCTCCCCACTTATTTGAGGAATTCAAGACCCCCAGTGGATGCTTGAAGAGTTGACTATATAAACTGTTTTTTTCCTAAACCCACATACCTGTGATAGTTTATAAACTTTATAAATAGTTAAGAGATAACAAAATAGAAATATTACAATATAATGTAATGTTATGTGGACATGGTGTCTCAATATCTTTTCACAATATTTTTATAACTAATTGCAGAAAGCAAAGCCATGATTAATGGGGGGGGGCTACTGTATATGTAAAATGTTTTCTCATTATTAAGCTTACATTGATTAAAGTATAATTAGGTCACTATGAAAACTGAATTTTCAGAAATGAATATATATGAATGGTGGCTCTGCAAGTCAGGTTGCCAGTCTTTTCTTAAATAGTTCAGTTAGCTTGTCTCAAATCGCTTTCAAAATAAATTTTATTTCTTCCAATAATTGCTATGGTGGGCAATAGGCTCTGTCAGATTAACTTTTCACTTTGATAAGACTTAATCCTGTGCACTTAGCTACTTCAGTATTTGACTTAAATCTCCCCTGCTGGGCCTCCTGGTAGCCTGTAAGTTAAGCCTCAGTGCTATCACGATGGCCCACAAAGACAGCCTGAGTTCTATCCCCAGCCAGCGACCAAACCCATATGGTACAGCAGACCTCTCCTGTCTCACTTGCTGCTCCCCTTAGCAGTGTATTTCAGTAAATCCACCTGCTATGCTCCCCACTCTGTCTCTGGTGAATCCTCTCACCCCCACACCTCTGGCCTACACCCCAGTTCTTCTATGCAAAAATAAAATCTTTTTTAAAAATTTAAAAAAATTACATCCCCTGCTGTTTCCAACATCAGTTGGGAGTAGGGCATGGGCAGTGGAGTTGGATGTACACGTAAAGGTCTGTCAACCTCCCTTTCAAATGTGGTACATTGGCTTTGCCCTTGATTTGTTATTTTCCCAGCAAATCCACCACTAAAAAAAAAAACTTTCCTTTTATTCATCTCCTCTAATACAGTTCATGAGGGTGGGTAGAGGAACTAACAGGCCCTCCTGAGGAAGCCTCTTCTTTAGGCATTGGGTGAATCTAAAACTGGGCTCCATCATCTAGCTAAACCCCTTTTGGCACACAATGCTTTGAGGTTCCTGCCCCTTGACCCTTCACTATGCAAATCACCAGTATGCCTACAGCTTTTCACCATCCCATAGATACTTGTGCTCAACTTCCTTGCCTTTCAACCAAACCACCCTTGATACTCTCCAGTCCCATCTGAGGTCAGCAAGCCTAAAGAGAACAAGATACCTGCATGTTCCAGCTTCATGAATAAAACCTTATCGGCATCTTAGAACCATCACTCATCATTCTCATTTCCAAGTTTATAAAAAAATTTTTGAGTTTCCCTCTCCTCATGGGACTCTTTATAATTATCCCCCACCAAGGTGATAAAATCAGGAGAAAATCCAACAGGTCCTCTCAACATCTGGACCATCTAGCCTCATATTCACCATTTCCAACATTCTTATTTTCCAGATTTTCATTTCTGTATCATTGCATGTTCTTCCCTATTCTTAGAATCTCCTCTACCAAATCAAAGATCTATGAATCCAAAGTATATGTGCCCTGTAATACTTTGCAAGCTTCTCTCCCTCTGATAAGTAATGTGCCAAGGAGCATTTGACCTCCTGTATTACATAGGCAGGAAATGCAATATATCAGCCTTTCACCTGACCCTCTAGATATTAGTAACTTGCCAAAATACATGAAAACATATATAAAAACCTTAGACATTTTATCAAAAGAATAAACTGCAAGACTAAGTTGTAATCAGAAACTTTCATAAAGCCTTCGAGAGAGAGTTTATAAGATGTTTTATTTCTTTTTTAAAAAGACATATATTTACATCTTAACACACCATCCAATTTAAAGTATACAGTGGCACACTTAGTAACTACCAGTCACTTCTATGAAATCATACCTATAAATACTAAGGAAAACAGGTTTACTTAAAGGTAATAAGCGATAATACCAGATTTTAAACAAGAAATTTGCAAAAATTTTATTACATAAAGATTTTAACTCAAAGTAGACAAAATACATGGTAATCCCAAACTTGGAGAACAGGAAATTAATAGACTTTCTCTTAGTGGAGGCCTATAACCTCAGTGACATATATGGGTAAAGTTAATAGTGCACATTTTAAAAGGACTAGTCTGGTTGTGTTTCCTCTAATTTTAATTCCTCCTCTTCATTTGCAGTATTGGCAGTAGCAGCATTATGTGGACTGTCTAGAATGTCTTTGTTAAATCCATCTGACTCCTCCTGTTGATCTTCACCTGTATTAACCTCTTCCTCCTGTTGATTCTCACCTATATTAACCTCTTCAACTGCTTGAGCAGTAGATGTTTTCATGAATAAGTCTGAAAGAGAAATCATCGTTACTACTCATTAAAAGCACCTATTCCAGTCTAACCTGATAAACAAATCTCTTCACAAGCTTAGGTCAGTAGAAATTAAATCTATTATTTTAATTATGATCACTTTTCTCCCAAATAAAGTTTTTTTTTTTTAAGATTTATTTATTTATTTATTTATGCATACAAGAACTGGGGTATGGGGTGGGGTGGAGGGTATGTGTGTGAAAGGATTCACCAGGGACAGAGTGGAGAACAGAACAGGCAATATAATGAAATACACTGCTGAGTGGAGCAGCAGGCAAGTCAGGAGAGGTCTGCTGCACCATGTGGGTCACCTCCCTGGCCAGGGATCAAATTTGTGCTGCAGTGGCTGCTGATAGCTTCATAGTGCTGAGACTTAACCCCTTGCGCCACCATGGAGGCCCAGATTTGGAATTAATTTTAAATTAAAATAATTTTTAAAGAGGTATTTAGCTATTGAGAAAACCATCTTGGCCTCATTTATTCTTTGAGGATTCCAAATAGCAATTCTCTCTCACTCTCAAATATACATAAACTTAATATACTATATCACATTTTTCTATTCCTAGAGGTTATTTTATTTGGGGGAATAGAAGTTAAAATTTCTAACATGCCCTTGATATATTAATAGTAGCACATAAAACCAAGAATAAAATTTACCATTTCCTAGTGACTGGCCATTACTCAGTAGCTTTGCCTGCCTTCTTTCCAAGGCCAGCTGTTTATTTCTCTCAATTCTTTGTTGTTGCTCTTCTGTTAGACTTCTACTTGACTCGGAAGCAAACTGCTCACTTTGAAATGAGCTTGTCAAAAAGGGATCTAATTCAGTAGTCGTTCCATCATGGCCAGTATTTTCCCCCACTTCATCTGCAATAGAAAATAAAAATTAGTATATATGTAGTATTAAACTATTAGGAAAAAGAGATTATGCTGCTACTAATTGAAAACCAGTTTAACATGCAAGGTGCCAAGTCTTTAAAATATAATTTGTAAGGTACGAGTATATATATGCTTAATTCAAAAAAGTAAAGAATACATCACTTTAAAGAGGCATTAAGTAAGTGGAGATAGTTTAAAAATAAGCATAAATAGAGAGCTGCCAGATCTTAGTGTCAGAGCATTCTTCCTATTATAATAGTTGACCCCTACCTCCTCTCCCCTTTCCTTTAGTAATCCTATTGAATAAAATCTGTGCTATTAAAGAGTAAGATATGAATGGAAAATAAAACTTAATTATTAGGAATACTGGGCCTCGCTGGTGGCGCAAGGGATTGAGCACAGCACTGTGAAACTATCCACAGCCTCTGCAGCACGAATTCAATCCCCGGCCAGCCAGGGAGCTACCCACATGGCGCAGCAGACCTCTCCTGTCTCACCTGCTGCTCCCCTCAGCAGTATGTTTCAGTCAATCTGCCTGTTCTGTTCCCACTCTGTCACTAGTCAATCCTCTCACCAACACACACTCCTCTGGCCTGTACCCCAATTCTTGTATGCGTAAAGAAATCTTTTTTTTTAATTCTTTATGAGAAGACAGCATCAGTTTTCATTGCCTTATTTTTTTTAAAAATTTATTTTTATTTATTTATTTATACAGGCACTGGGTACAGTCAAAAGGGCGGGAGGGTGAGAGAATTCACCAGAGCCAGAGCAGGGAGCAGAGCAGGCAGAAGGACCGAAGTACACTGCTGAGGGGAGCAGCAGGCGGCAGGAGAGGCCATGTGGGACCCTCCTCCGGTGGCCAGGGAGCAGGCGGGGATGGAACCGGCGCTGCAGAGGCTGCGGGCAGCTTCGCAACCCAGTGCTCAACCACTGCGCCACCTGGGAGGCCCCAAGAAATAAATAGTTTTAAAAAATTATTGGGGATATTTTATGCTTGGGTTAATAAAAGAACTTAGAATCCAAAGCATATTCTTGTTTTACATTAAACAAATACATTATAAGAGCCTGCCAGTGTCAATGTGATAGACAATAGTAATTTTACATAGGCTATTTTTTTAGCAGGGTAAAACCCAGACACAATGTAAAAAAGGAAAAGAAATTTAGATATCTCTGGACATATTTCCAAGTTAATTAGGAAAAAAAAACAACTCAGTGCTGCTCCATTATTATTGGTCTTAATAAATTCTTTTTTTTTTTTAATAGAGGCATGTTTTATTTATTTATTTATTTGTTTGTTTGTTTTGTTTATACATGTACTGGGTACAGTCAGAAGCGCGGGAGGGTAAGAGAATTCACCAGAGCCAGAGCGGGGGGCAGAGCAGGCAGAAGGACCGAAGTACACTGCTGAGGGGAGCAGCGGGCGGCAGGAGAGGTCTGCGCGCCATGTGGGACCCTCCTCCGGTGGCCGGGGAGCAGCCGGGGATGGAACTGGCTCCGCAGAGGCCGCGGGCAGCTTCGCAACCCAGTGCTCAACCGCTGCGCCACCGTATATTTATTAAGGCCCGGACTTAATAAATTCTTAAAAGGCCTATATATCTTATCATGTCATCTAAAACTAGGATGGCCCTAAAATGATCCACAGTGGTGTGGAAAATAAACATTAGATCTTCCATTTATATTTCATTTAAGAAATAAGAAAAATTAAGTTTTAAAAACATATTTAAAGTAAGGACTAGCAGTGAGAAACTATCATTTATCCCTATGACAAAGTTCCTGTCTGGTTTGTAAGGCAGCTCCATGCTGCCAGAGGGTCAGCATATAAAGATATGCTGATTTTTATTCCCCAATTAAACAAAATGAGAGGCTATCTAGTTTCAACCAAACAACACCAATAAAATGTACAAGGGGTAACTTAAGAGCTTTGCAGAACATCTATAGGTATAGAAGCATAAGAACTGAGAAAATAGAAAAGCTGGTATTTCCTTTCCTTCTCTATATAATCAAACTGCCACGTACACCACTTGAAATATTAATCTGCATTTATTATCCTCTTTCAATGTATATACTGTGTCTTGAGGTATTAGCTAATAATAGTAAAAATCATCGTAACTATGAAACCATTTAAAACATGAAGGCAAACCTTTATAATTATTCCAGTGAGTTTTAAAAATCAGGTTATATTTAATCAAATCTTTTACAATCCAACCCCCTTTAAGATTTCTTCCTTAATAGCGAAAGACAAAAAAAGTTTGCTTTCCTGACATAGGGAAAAAAAATGTTTCAAACTAAATGCATTCCTGTCAGGAAAATTGATGGAGTACATGTAGAAAACATTGCTAAAGAAGTTAAGAAACTATTAGAACCAATTAAGCAAAATGCAAAGTTTCTAATATGTTTCATCTTTTAAGGCTCACACAATTCTGAATTTATGAGATACATAAGGAGTTATTTTTGTGAGTTACAAAAAGATATCTTCAATAATAAACAACTGCTTTAATATATACAATGTTTTATGGTGGACAGACATAACCACCAATGGAGTTTTGAAGAGGATAAAAATGGGATTAAAAAAATTAGAATCACACATGAAATTCATTCACTGAAACATTCATAAGCAAATTATTGTGGCAAACACAGAAAAAGTGGACATATTCAATGTGTTATAGGAGGCCAGTGCTGTGATACATACAAACAGATAAGCAAACTACATAGTAATTTTTTTTTTTAAGTTTTTTAAAAATCTATTTATGCATACAAGAGCTGGGGTATAGTCCAGAGGTGCAGGGGGGTGAGAGGAGTCACCAGAGAGAGTGGGGAGCAGAATAGGCAGATCGACTGATATACACTGCTGAGGGGAGCAGCGGGGGAGACAGGAGAGGTTTGCTGTGCCATGTGGGTCACTTCCCTGGCCAGGAATCCCACTCATGCTGTAGTGGCTGTGGACAGCTTCACTGTGCTGAGACCTTACCCCTTGTGCCACCAAGGAGACCCTCAAACTATATAGTAATTAAAGGGAAATGAGTGCTGTGAAAAAGAAAAGTAGGGCAAGCAGGAATGGGAGGTAAAATTTTAACAATGTGTTTGAGGAATCTCATTTCACTAAGTTGAAATTTCAACACAGTTTGAAGGAGTGAGAGTTAAACATGCAGATTTGGGGCAAGAGAGAATTCAGGACAGTGTTGAAGGCAGAGTACAATAACCTTAAGACAGAAATGTGCCTGGAATATTTACAGAACAGCTAAGAAGTAAGTGTAGCTAATGTGCATGACTGAGGAATTATAAAAGAGAGTTAGAGAGGCCAGGAAGGTGGTTACCACTCAGCAGCAGACCCACGAGGGCCAAGTTCAGGAGCAAACCCTATAAGTCCAATAATACATGTATTTGAAAAATAAATAAAATGCTCAACATTTTTACTGTTATGGTGCCTGATCCAAAAAAGTTTGGAAGCTATTCTTTTAAACATAAAGAAAACAAATCCAATAACAAATAAGGTTCTTTGATATAGGCTTCCTCCATGTAGCCTATATTTCAGCAAGTTCAGAGTGGTTCCCTGTTCCTTTATGCCTCTGCGCAGTGGCTTCCTCTATCCAAAATCATCTGTGCCTGACCTCTACTGCTTACCATTCAACGCGCTTCTAGTACCACCTCTATCAAGCTTTCCTCTACCCTAGTAAAGATACTTATGTACTCCTTTCCCTCCTATCTCTAATTACAGCACCTACCAGACTATTGGCAAAGTTGTATGTCTGACTTGTTCACTAGTTAGCTCTTGAAGCAAGGGGTCTGACTTATTCCATCTTTAACACTGAACCTTCAGTACACAGAACACAGCTCAAAAAGTGCTGTTGAGCAGGTTGAGCACAGCGCTGTGAAGCTGTCCTGGCAGCCTCTGGAGCGCCAATTTGATTCCCAGCCGTCCAGGGAGATACCCACATGGCATGGCAGACCTCCCCTGTCTCACCTGCTGCTCCCTCAGCAGTGTAATTCAGTCTGTTTGCCTGTTCTGCTCCCCGCTCTGTCTCTGGTGAATCCTCTTACCCTCCTGTGCCTCTAGCCTGTACCCCAGTTCTTGTATTAAAAAAAAAAAAGTGCTGCTGAATAAACTAACCCAGGGTTATATGCTATGGGATTTATCATAATAACTAATTTTCCTTTCCATATACCAAACCCCATCCTTTTGGTATATACCATATCTTACAAAAAAATTAAGTCTTGGATTATTTAAATCATAATCTTCACACTTCTAAAAGCAATTATAAGTAACCTTGGAGGATTCTTTACAGTCTATTTTCTACATCTACTGAAAGTTTTAAAAACACAAACAAACATGTATGGAGCCATCGCACAGAAAATCTGATAACTATACAGACCCTGTCGGCAGGAACCATATGTTTTGATGTGTGTGACCATCTGTGGTTGCACTGTACAACTAACAAATGCAATCAATACCAAGAATAGTCACATAGGTCTTCTGAAGTCCTATAACCAGTATCTGCACTCTTGAGTGAAATGTAACTATCTCACCATCAAATTATTCCACCTAATTTTCCAAAACCACTTATTTTAGTGGGGCACATGTATATAAACACTATACTTTATCATATATTTTTATTAACAAGCCCTAAGAAAGATCAATGCATCACCATCAGAGGTCTCAAAAGCTCATGTTCTATGATTGAATATTTTTACAACACCTCTTAATGCACTGCAACAATGTCTTTAAGAAATACTTATCATAGCAATATTCTAGATTGGCCAAGGCATTTTAACTCATTCCTATTTACTTTAACTATTGACATATACTCACCATAGACCAAAAACCCAGTCCTGTAATACAGTCTACCCCAACTAGATCCATTTCTAAGAGCAAAATTGTTATAAATAAACCTACATTCTTACCATTATTGCTAACAAAATCTTCATGTACAATAGGAAGATCAAGTCGAATTCGTTTTAAACATGTCTGAAAATAAAGAGATATTTTCATACTTTTATCAATAATATTTGGGGGAAATGGTAATGTATTCAATTCTTGGTTTTAAAAAGTTGTCCTGGGCCTCCCCTGGTGGCGCAGCGGTTGAGTACTGGGTTGCGAGGCTGCCCGCAGCCTCTGCTGTGCCAGTTCGATCCCTGGCCACAGGCGAGGGTCCCACAAAAAAAAATAAATAAATAAAAATAAAAAAAAAAAAAGTTGTCCTTCGGGGACCTCCCTGGTGGCGCAAGGGGTTAAGCACTGCACTATGAAGCAATCTGCAGCCTCTGCAGCTTGAGTTCGATCCCCCAGGCAGCCAGGGAGCAACCCACATGGCACAGCAGACCTCTCATGTCTGTCCCGCTGCTCCCCTCAGCAGTGTATTTCAGTCCGTCTGCCTGTTCTGTTTCCCACTGTCTCTGGTGAATACTCTCACCCCTCCCTGCCGTGCCTCTGGCCTGTACCCCAGCTCTTATATGCATAAATAAATAAATCTTTAAAAAAATAAAAAGTTGTTCTTCAAACAACTACTATTAATTTTCCTTCTCTCTACCAAAACATTTTCAAATGAAGACCCCAAAGAGCTTACTTAAACTCTAAGCTAGACTTACCCTTGTACTATTTAACACTGTGAACTAGTCATAATAATCTCACCACCTACCTGAATTTCCTTTTTATTTCCCAGATATTCAACTCTGTCAACAAAATCTTCAAATTGCAGTTTAGGGAATAGCCTATGTGCCCAGTGCTCCATGTGTCTGATTAGAGTCTTCAAGTCTTCAACCTGGGAGATAAAAATAAAAATGCTAAACAGAAGACTCATTCTCACAACTGACCTTGTCAGCAAATTTTAGAATTGAATAGTAATGCCGAAGTCATTGGTGTCATTTTATATTTATAAGGTAAAAAAACTTTTAGAAAGAACTTTAAGAAAAATGTTTAAAAGGGCTTATAGAATAGTAATCTAAAAGAGCACTGGATACAGATTTTTTAAGTCAGAAGGAAAAAAATCTTAAGTATAGAAACTTTAAGTAAAATATAAAGACTCATGCACCTTTTACAGAACTCTAAGAATTATTTGAAAATATTCTTTTTTTATTTAGATCTTTTATTTATTTATTTTTTTTTTTTTTTTTTTTTTTTTTTTTATAGAGGCATGCTTTATTTATTTGTTTGCTGGTTTCTTTGTTTGTTTTGTTTATACATGCACTGGGTACAGTCAGAAGCGCGGGAGGGTGAGAGAATTCACCAGAGCCAGAGCGGGGAGCAGAGCAGGCAGAAGGACCGAAGTACACTGCTGAGGGGAGCAGCGGGCGGCAGGAGAGGTCTGCGCGCCATGTGGGACCCTCCTCCGGTGGCCGGGGAGCAGCCGGGGATCGAACCGGCGCCGCAGAGGCCGCGCGCAGCTTCGCAACCCAGCGCTCAACCGCTGCGCCACCGGGGAGGCCCTATTTAGATCTTTTACATCATTGTGTATTCCCCATAAAATTTCTACCACCAATACACCCATGAACCATCATTACAGTTCCTTGTGCTCTTCTCTCCCCTATTTTGATCCCTTTTCCTCCCCCTCCCTCACAGAATGTCTCTGATTTATGGTCTGTGAAAATAAATTTTAATAAAATATGTTAAGATATCTTTTAGAAATAAGTAACCACAGCAACAGGTCCCTAAATCATATATAGAGGAACAATGACAATTCAGCATTGTGAAAATAAATTCAGAAATGCCAAGAGCAAAGTACCAAAGACTAGCCAGAACACTTTAGGCCTTACTCAGTCCACAATACCTCTCTCTACTTGAAATCTCAATTTAACATTGATTTTTTTAATTATAATGAAAAACAAAGTTTAATAAACTTTATTAGTGAATGAGCAAAGTTCCAAATTCCTGGTTTTACTGTAAAATAATTTATTCTTCTCAATAGTATTTTAAAATAAGAGTGAAAAAAAAAGCAGAGTGGTTAAAAGCCCAGTTTCCAGTCAGACTGCACAGATTCAGATTCTCAATTCAACCATTTAATAGCTGCATGACTTTAAACAAATCATTTCACTTTTTGTACCTTTTACCTCACATATAAAATGAGAATAACAGACAAATCTCAAAGGTTATTGCAAGGATTATGTAAGACAAGTAAAGCAACTGTCACAAAGCAAGCACCAAAACAAACGTTAGTTATTGCTGTTATTTGATCTTGTAGAAACCAATGGTAAAGACAATCAACTCTAACAAAACTATGAAATACTGAGAATTTAATGTGTTGTCATTCTCATTTTTTTTTTTTAAGATTTATTTTTATTTATTTATTTATACAAGCACTGGGTACAGACAGAAGCGCAGGAGGGTGAGAGAATTCACCAGAGCCAGAGTGGGGAGCAGAGCAGGCAGAAGGACCGAAGTACACTGCTGAGGGGAGCAGCGGGCGGCAGGAGAGTCTGAGCACCATGTGGGACCCTCCTCCGGTGGCAGGGGAGCAGCCGGGGATCGAACCGGCGCCGCAGAGGCCGCAGGGAGCTTCGCAACCCGGCGCACAACCGCTGCGCCACCGGGAAGGCCCTCATTCTCATTCTTATAATAAAGGTAAAAGTTCTTTTGAAAATTCAGTCACCTAAAATCATTTTCCAATTGTTGGGGATAGCTAGCTGGTCAGTCATCTCAAAATGTCAAGTTAGACACAAAGAAAAAGTATAGAGAGATGATTTGTGAAAAACTAGCAAGAATTTTCAAGGGTAAAGTAAGAAGACAAAATAGAGGAAATTCTCTCAGAGCCACCTCACCCAGCAAAGGAAAATAAGATTTATCCTTCACTTAAGTTTATTTATTTATTTTAATAAAGAACTTATCATGAAAATGATCAAGACTTTATGAATTCGAAGCACCAATTCACCATTTCTATTTGACAATTTCAACAAAGCCAATGAATTAACTGAGCTGGGTTGGTTTTAAAACATCCTGATTTACATTTAGTTCTGCGGCAAAATAGGACAGACTTATAGTCTATCTTCTTATCTACTGAAGCTAAGCAAACATGCCATAATTTTTCAGCCTCCCAGGTTTAAAATTTTAGGATTATTTTTTACATTTTTGGTCCTCCCTAAATCCAATCATTTACGGGCCTCCCCGGTGGCGCAGCGGTTGAGCGCTGGGTTGCGAAGCTGCCCCTGGCCTCCGCGGCGCCGGTTCGATCCCCCAGCCACCGGAGGAGGGTCCCGCATGGCGCGCAGACCTCTCCTGCGGCCCGCTGCTCCCCTCAGCAGTGTACTTCGGTCCTTCTGCCTGCTCTGCTCCCTGCTCTGGCTCTGGTGAATTCTCTCACCCTCCCGCGCTTCTGACTGTACCCAGTGCATGTATAAACAAAACAAACAAACAAATAAATAAATAAATAAATAAACATGCCCCTAAAATAAATTTAAAAAAAAAAAAATTAAAAAAAAAAAATTAAAAAAAAAAATAAATCCAATCATTTACAAGGTTTATGTTGTTCATCTCTCTAGTATTTCCTCATCCGGCTATTTTCACCTCATTTCCTCCAGCAGTGCTAGAGCCTTTGAATAGTTATCTGCCTCCAGCCTCTTTCCAATTATCCTGTATTCCACATCAAGATGAGTTCACTGCTGTACAAACATTATTCTAGCTGGATCATGAAAACAGAAATCTAACCATTGCCGTTAACTGTTGCCAGAGATATGTAAAACTAAAATCAATGTCCTTAACTAGATAATGGGACCAACAACTACTTGACAGATTGAGAATTAAAAATTATATTTGAAAACACCTCTTAAGTTATAAAATTCTCTAAAAAGCTATAAAATTCTATTAAAAAAAGATACTATCATCTGCAAAAAATTGTATCTACATTCTACATGATTCAAAGATAAGAGAATTTTAAAATATAGGGCCTTCCTGGTGGGGTAAGTCTCAGCACAATGGGCTAAGCTATCTGTAGCACGAGTTCAATCCCCGGCCAGGGAGATAACCCACATTGCTGATACACCCTCAGCAGTGTATTTCAGTCAATCTGCCTGTTCTGCTCCCCACTCTGTCTCTAGTGAATCCTCTCATGTCCGCCCACCCCATACCTCTGGCCTACACCCCAGTTCTTATATGCATAAATAAATAAAATAAATTTTTGAAAAAAGAAAGAATTTTAAAATGTACATTTATACAGTGATTGCAAAAATGAGGTAGGTAAGAATATTTTCTGATTCTTCAAACAATGACCTTCCTACTACATCACAGGTCCTCAAGAGATATGATAATGCACGATAGCATCCGTTCCCAAAAACACAATGAGTCCACAGTTTAATAGATAATTTAAAAAACATAGGTCTAGCATAAATATCAGACATTTCTTACCTCATGCCCTTTACCTTTGAATTTTGCCTTATCAAACACATGCCTTAATGCTGGAAGTCCTCTCTCTGAAATTAATCTGTGAAGAGAAATGTTTTGAATTTCAAGTTTGTCTAGAGTCATCAAATCAAGCCAAAACCCTAAGAAAGTGTATTTTCTGTTGAATTGAGAAAAAAAACAATGTGTTTGGAAATATATGATCTCCAAATCTTTTCAACCAAAAGCTTTTAACACAAAAAGAAAAATAAATGGCTATAAAGAAAAAGAATAATTATTTAAGGAAATAGTGAAAGTACCTCTGAGCATCCAGTCTGGGTATTTTCCTTTTAACTGTTCTCTTTGGAGGAACAGGAACAGGTGCTCCTCTCCCTGACTCTAGTAAAATATACCAAGATTTACTATGCTTAAGTAACTTAAGTCTCACTTGTAAAATGTATCATTTCTAATCTGATAGATGGATAACTGCTCATGGACATGGAAACTTTTTTGAACCTTTCTACAGACCTTTATCAGCTTCCGTTTCTTCACCATCTTCTCTCTCAGTCGGAGGTGGAAAAGGAGCAAAGGTTTCATCTTCTACATGTTCATAATCTGAGAGATCAATCAAGCCATCCTGCTGTTCCTCCATCTTTTCCTCTAAGGGAAAAAAAAGTAAATGTATATTCATCCAGCTAATCTTTCTTTTACATAGTTAAGTTCCACTGCAGCAAAATTTATGTTTCAATTAATTAAACCATATTTCAAACTCAGACATCATGAAAAGAAGTGGAAAAGATTAATAGTTACAGAAAAAAGAACTGGGCTAGAAATCAGAACTGAGTTGTAATGTAGACTAAATAATAATGATTTTGAGCAAATCATTTGACTTCAACTGTTTAGTTTCCAAAATCATAAAATGATTTTGATTTTTTTTTTCTTATTTTTTCTTATTTTTAAAATTTATTTATTTATTTATACAAGCACTGGGTACAGTCAGAAGCGTGGGAGGGTGAGAGAATTCACCAGAGCCAGAGCGGGGAGCAGAGCAAGCAGAAGGACCGAAGCACACTGCTGAGGAGGACCGAAGCACACTGCTGAGGGGAGCAGCGGGTGGCAGGAGAGGTCTGCGCGCCATGTGGGACCCTCCTGCGGTGGCCGGGGAGCAGCCGGTATCCAACCGGCACTGCAGAGGTTGCCGGCAGCTTCGCAACCCAGCGCTCAACCGCTGCGCCACCGGGGAGGCCCTGATTTTGATTTTTAATGGATGAAACAGGTAAGGAATGGGTACCTCACCACCGCACACTTGAACTAGAGCAACTTAAAAAATAAATCTGTTTACATATTGGTAAATTTTCCATTAAAAAGAAAAATAATCCTCAGATTGATAATCTGAAAGGATGCTTTTTCAAGTACCATCTTACCTGAACTTTCAGCAACATCTGACACTTCTGATTAGTTTGGTTTTTTTTTTCTGGGAAAGTTTTTTCATTGACTTCTAAGCACAGTACTCACCTAGCTTTCCTCACTTTCTGGACATTTCTTCTGGGTTGGCTGCAGATTCATCTTCCTCTAGCTTGATCATGAAATACCTAAGAGTCCATCCCCTTGTCCCTCCTTCACTCATCCACATGGAATCATTAATAGATGACTCACTTTGTTTTTCTTTAAGGCTTTTTTAAACTTTTTTTTTTTTTTTTGCATAGAACTGGGGTGTAGGCCAGAGGTGCGGTGGGGAGGGGGCGGAGAGGATTCAGCAGAAACAGAGTGGGGAGCAGAACAGGCAGATTTACTGAAATTCACTGCTAAGGGGAACAGCAGGCAAGATAGGAGAGGTCTGCTGTGCCATATGTAGGTTAGCTCCCTGGCGGGGATCCAACTCAGGCCATAGTGGTCATACTGAAATTCACTTATTTTTAACTCCAGCCTAGGCATCAGGTATGAGCTCCAGATTCCTACTTCCCATTTTGGAACTCTAGTATCTATCCACCTTTCCAGTCCATTTTATTTGCTAAGATTCTCCAGAATCTGACCACTTCTCTCTCTACAACCATTTGCCAATATTTCTTACTTGGATTACTCCGTTACTTCTATCCACTTTTGCCTTTCAAATCAATCTCATTAACCGAATGAACCTTTGAAAATATAAAGCTAATTGCATTACTACTTGACTTAAATATTCTAATGACTTCCAAGTGCTCTCAGAAGACAAACACCCCCCACTTTTCAAAATGAGTCTGAAGTTAAGTACTTGTTTTCACTAGCCCAAAGAAATCCAAAGGGAATTTTCAAAAGTCACTTTACTTTTACAAAAGTCTGAAGTTAAGTACTTGTTTTCACTAGCCCAAAGAAATCCAAAGGGAATTTTCACTTTTACAATAAAAAGTGAAAATGGTGTTTGTTTTGCAGTGAGCAAGTATACAGGCAGCATGCACCAAGAGCAGCAAAAGTGGCACCATCAAGCTCCTTAGCTGGGATTACTTTATACAGGCTACATATTTATCTTATCATTTCTGCTTTTATTATATGTTAGTATGTGTTATTTGGAATGTTTTGGAAGGTTACTTTTTGGGTCTGGAAACACTCCAAAAATGTTCCATGTAAACTAATGACAATTGCTTCTTCACTTTACACCACTTCCACTAAAAAAGTTTTCTGATAGTAGAGGATACTTATATGAATACAACTCTAAGGCCCTGCATGATTTAGCACATCTCCTTCTCCTGCCTCACTTCACAACACTCTTCATGCTTGTTTCTTTTTTTCTTTTTTTTGTGGGACCCTCGACGATGGCCGGGGATTGAACTGGCACTGCAGAGGCTGCGGGCAGCCTCGCAACCCAGCGCTCAACTGCTGCGCCACCAGGGGAGGCCCTCTTCGTGCTCATTTCTTTCAGTGACCATGTATCCCTCAGGTCACCAGACTTTTGCAAAGGCTATTTCTTCCTATCTCGTTCTTCCCTGACTCCCAGTACCTGTCAGATCACAAGAATTACCTCCCCAAAAGACTAACCGATTTTACTAAATTAAATCCTCCTACAGCATTCAAAACATCAAATGCAAGTGTCACAGCACTTATTCAGTTTCAATATTAGGTTCTATTTGTGTGATTACTTGATTAAAGTTTGCCTCCCATACAAGACTAGCTTTAGAAAGGCAAAGAGGGCCTCCCTGGTGGCTCAAGGGGTTAAGATGCAACCTATGAAGCTATCCACAGCCACTGAAGCACAAGTTCAATCCCTGGGCAGGGAGCTACCCACATGGTGCAGCAGACCTCTCTGGACTCACCCGCTGCTCCCCTCAGCAGTGTATTTCAGTCAATCTGCCTGTTCTGCTCCACACTCTGTCTCTGGTGAATTCACTCTCTGCCGAGACGTCTGGCCTGCAGACATCTATAAATCTTGAGAAAAAAAAAAAGAAGGGCAAAGAACAGGTATATTTCTTTGTGCTCAATCATTCTATTCCCAAAGCTGGTACACAATAGGTGCTCAATAAATATTTGTTTATGAAGCAATGAAAGAAATGAATTCCAATGTTTCCCCCAAACTGTGAAACTACTGGAATTAGATGATCTCTAAAATCTTTCCAATTCTAAATTTCCATGACTGTAAGTACACAGAAATTATCAACCCTGATGATGATCCATTATATGAAGTTAGATTCAAAAAACCATATATTTTCAAAATTGTAAAGGCAGTTAAGGGTCAAATAATCTACTAGCTTCCTGCAAACGATATGGAACCCTACTTTGGTTAAGTCTTAGGGAAGAAATAAGATCCACACCTTTCAAAATAACTAGGAGCTTTGAGTTGGACGACAGGGCGCAAAGTAGATTAAGAAGAGCCAGACACTGGTAAGAACTGGTCAAGTATGGTGAGGGACTTGTCAATAAACTAGTAGTGAACAATTTATCTTTCATTTATTGACAATGGCCCCATACTACTTCTTTTTAAAACACTGACGAAATTCCCTTAACTTTCTCCTCTAATCCTCACACTCCCAGGAGTTAAATACAAACAAATTTAATGCTCAAACTTTCCCTTAGGTATCCAATGGCCCACATTTTGCAACTTAGCAAAACAGAAGCCCCTCAGCCCCAAGTCGGGAAGCCCAATCAGACTGCCTCGGGGTCCCCTTTTGCTACCAAATCTGAAAAACAGCAAACCTCCCACTCCATCCCTCTTATCCAACCTTCCTGTAAGGCTTGCTCCCCCTCTGTTTCCTCTCACTTCATTCAACATCCACAGGATGCTTTGTAGGGCCAGGTGCCCGCGTGGAGGAGCTGGCGATGTACCAAGACATACCTGACACGCGTTCCCTCCCGCCAGCAGGCTCGGTTTAGGGAGACAAAGACCCTAAAGGAAGAAACGTGCCCGCCTCTTCCCCAGCAGCTTTCTCTCCCCATGGGTCCAGGCCGCTCAGGCCTTCCCGTCTCCGGCCGCGCACAGCCCAGGCCCGCCTCGACCAGGTCCTCCAGCCCCCTGAAGGCCTCCCTGCGACTCTCCAGCACCCCCCTCATCCCCCGGACTCCCCCAGTTTCCTCTGCCCTCAGGACCTTCACCGTGGCAGCTCTCACCTCACGCAGAGCGCCTCAGGCACAGCGCCGACTTGGTCGCGACCGACAAATCTCGCGCATCGCGAGACTCGGGCGCTCCCGCGGCGAGAGCGCCTCCGCGTTTGGCGCCAAATCTGCTCTCCGTGGGGATTTGCCTGCCGAGCCCGCCTCCTAGGCCACGCCCACGTCCTGCCCCGCCCCTGGGCCGGGCCCCGCCCACCCGCCCTGCCGCCCTCCCGAATTCTTCGGGGGTGTTAAATCTCCTTATTTGCATAAGCTTCCTATTTGTTACGCTGTAGGCATTTTGAAGTATTATAAATAGGTCTCCGTTTTTTAGAAAACTGAATTGTGGGTGGAATAAAAAGGATTGAGACAAACAGTACTTGATGAGAAAATTATCCGTTCTTCAGTTACTAACAATTCCTTGAATGTACGAGTTTGATTGTCTATTGAATAATGGGGTGAGAAATGAGTGTTAGAGTGTAGACGCAAAGGATGTCAAAAATGTGTTTAATTTTTGTAAAGTGACTCATATATTTCTATTTGCTTGTACACACACACACACACACACACACACACAGCCGAGAGGAAATATATAAATAAGTAATACCTCTGGAGATGGGAACTGGAAATAGAGACATAATGGGAAAAATAATTAACTGTACTTTTTTAGAACATGTAAATATATCAACTAAGAAACCAAAAAAAGTTATCTGCAGCAAATATAGCAAGATTTGACAAACCTGAAACTTACATCGTGTTATAATGCAACGCTACTCAACAACAAAAACATTTGACAAACCAGCAAAAGTAGTGTTTGCAACATTATCTTATTTTTTTGGAAAGATTTATTTATTTATGCATACAAGAACTGGGGTACAGGCCAGAGATGCGGGGAGTGAGAGGATTCACCAGAGACAGAATGGGGGACAGACCAAGCAGACTGAAATACAATGCTGAGGGGAGCAGCCGGTGAGACAGGAGAGGTCTGCTGCCCATGTGGGTTGCTCCCTGGTAGGCCCAGATCGGAACTCGGCTGCAGAGGCTGCAGATTGCTTAATAGTTTGGTGCTTAACCCTTTGTGCCACCAGGGAGGCCCCATTATCTTATTTTTTGTGGTTTGAAATGCCTTTTTGAAATTATGAAAGAATAAATCAAATTTCAGGAAAGCATAGGATAAAGTAAATTGCAAGATATAGCTACCTAAAATTATGTAAGTATGCACATTTTCCTTAATTTTATAGGTTTTACTTCTGTACATGCAAGACAACATATATTAAACAATCATTAATTTCAAAAGGAAATATGTCAACTTCAATAGTCTGAAAAATGGAAGAAGCATCCTTCTTACTATCCAAATAACAGTCTATATTCTCCAGTTTTGGCTAAGAATGTAAATGTAAAAGCATTTTGAGAAATTAATGTTATGCTCCCTCCCCCGCAAAAAACCTGAGAGCAGCAGCTCTCAGGATTGGAATCTCAGTTCCATCATTTACTAGTTGGTGACCTTGACTGTACTTCAGTTTCCTCATTAATAAAAGTACCTACTTTGTAGAATAATGAAGAGGATTAAATGATACTTAATACACATTACCTTAATATTATTACCCACAAAATTTTTAGGTTGTTTGACCCTTTTAGAAAATGTAAAGACTTTGGTAGGTAATTATTTGTGAGTCTCGATGATTATTACTACCATAGTCCTAAGGTACTGACATTTTATTGTCAAAAACTAATTGTCTCTTTTTATCACATATGAGGAATACTAGAACACCTTAGCAGTTTTGTAACAGGGTGGTCCCCAGGAAAGGGGGAGGTTCCCTGCCCCACCCAAGGGAGGGTGGAGCTGAGCAGGAAGAGGAGAAGCTGCAGAAGAGACTGAGGAAGAAAGGAGCAGGATGGAGCCAGAAGGAGACCTGGAGGAGGCACATGGAGCCTAGAGACACGTGAAGAAACTGCGCTTGTCTTTTGGTCGTGGACTGGGTGACACAGATGTGGGTGAGACCCATGGGGAGGTGACCATGGCAGCTTTTATCTGGATGTTGATTTTGCTCTTTTCCTTCCGGGCTTGTCTAGTTGTTTGTGACCCTTTTCTGTGGGTCCCCACTGGAAGATGCTTTAGACTTGTAGCAGGCTTTGGGGCCTTGCTCTGGGCCAATCCCATTTGGATGGACTTTTACCCACGAGGGGACGGGTAACTCTGGGTGCTTCATTTAGAAACTAGACTCTTTGCCTTACCTGTATTGTTTCCTAGTTTTATTAAAGTTCCTTCCTATTAAAGTCTCCTATGTTTTGTGTTGATGCGGCGGATGGCAGAACCCATGTAGAATAGGCAGGTTTGCGGGGTTTGGGCTGCCCCTCTCCCTGTCCTATAACAGATTCACCAGAGACATAAAAGATAGCACTGCTATATAGCATGTCATTAACTCTTTTAAAACAGTTTAATGTTTTTAAAAGTGAATAACATTAAAGAAGAAAATAGACTACTAAAGAACAATGAATATGGAGTATAAAAGTTTTTCTGGCAAGTAGTGAATATAGTCCAGAGATAAGGTTTGAAAAAAAAGAAATGGGATAAATCTTTCAAAACCAAAAGACCATGAACCATAACCCACATTAAAATTGGTCTAGTCTCTAAGTCTTGTTGATTGGTGCTATTTGGGCACTGGGAGGGCTGGTGGTAGTGGCCTACTGTGTACGTGGTACTCAATGTTATGGTATCTACTTGGCCCTGCCTGGTGTATGACAAGTCCCAGTTGGTATTGTCTCACCTAGCCAGGTCTACATTAGCATTGACCAATCAAGGTTATGGATTCTGAGTTAAGATCTGATTCAATCACGAATAATAGGGGAGAAAACCAAAATAATAATAAACAAGAAAGTAAATTTATTTGTCTCTCACTTATAAGTCTTTCATGTACAAGAAATCTGGCCTAAGTCCACAGTTGGAATGGTGGTCCATTGTCTTAGGGATCCAGTCTCCTGTCTTCTTGCTTTACCACATGAGAATTCTATTCTCAAGTTCACCTCACTATCTAAGATAACTTCTAGAGTTCCAACTGTATTCCAGTCAGCAGGAAGGAAGGAAGAGAGAAAGTCCTGGCCCTAAGAACATTTCCCAGAAGTTTCATGCCACAATTCTGGTTATAATCAGAATGTAATTACATGGCCACACAGCTGCAAAGGACCCTGGAAATACCATCGTTTTTTTGGGTGGACATGGCCTAGTAAAAATTCAGAATTTCTACTATTACGGAAGGAGGAGTGAAAAAATGTTGGGGGGCAACGAGCAGACTGCCACAGATAACAAAATAGAAAAAATTAATGTATTAGTGGCAAATCTACAATTTTGGACTGTATCCAAAAACACTAAGGATGTGACTAATGCTTTTACATTAGTGCACACAAGCAATTCTCAGTACGAGAAAACTCTGACATCACTTTGCACTGTATTATGCCATACTAGAGCTGATATTTTAGCTTCCAAGAATCTTCATCCTCTACTTCCTCTAGGGAATCTTCCTAGAACACATCCTCAAAACACTGTATCAAATCTCCTAAAAACTAAATGCCTGCCAATGATCAATTCACTTTATTGTGCTGACTGTTCTTCTGTAATACAAAAGATTAGACGTGGATTTGACGGTCCTAAAGGTACTGTCTTAATGGAGGACACTGAACAGTAGTATATCAACAGGGATTTATTAAGTGTT